CTATGGGAAGAGAAGGAATAAAATTAATTAAGTTGACTATTGGGTATTAGTACTAAACTATAAATAAATTCAAAAAAAAAATAAAAGTAAAAAATAAAGTAATTTGCTATAATATAAATTACACTGTATTCAAAGAACTAAAATATTAATTAAGTTGACTATTATATATTAGTAATAAATTATAATTGAATTCAAAAAAAAGAGATAAAAGTAAAAGATAAAGCAATTTGCTATTAAATATAAATTACATTGTACTCAAAGAATAAAAATAGAAAGGAGGAGAAAAAAACTTAACGTGGGTTTCGAACCTATGTCATCAGCAAATTTGAGAATTTAAGTGCCAAAAGCAACCAATTCTCCCATCTATCTCTTTGTTTCTGGGGGCACACTTAAAATATTAAGAGGTCCCGTATAAATGTACAGATATATATAATATGTATATACAGGCTTTTTGTCGAGGCTAACGGGGTCACGTGACCCCTCAACTCACAACGTAGGTCCGCCTCTGATTGTGAGTAACATGTCCTATTGTTGAAGCCATACTATAAGTAGTGCTTTTGGCCTTGCTACATTATCACACATGAGGTTTTTCCAGTTAACTTTGGGCAGCATTTTCATGTAGATGCTTCTGATCATACTTGTACTGCTCGCAAAGTCAGGTTGCACATGACATAGTTCCTCTCTTGTCTTAAGTATTTTCCTAACCATCCAGCCTGCTTGGTGAGGGATAGACATACTCTCCATGTGCTGCTCTTTTATGTAGTATTCATGAATCCATTTAATCCAAAGGGTGTCTTTCTTCCTATTCAATTCATAGCAGGTCTTTGTTATGGCTGCCTTATTCCAGAGCTTTAGGTTTGTAAGATTTAGCCCTCCTGCTAATTTAGGTAGACACATTTTGCTCCATGATACCGGTGATTTTCTAGTAATTTTATTTGCTCCAGACCAGACAAAGCTTCTGCAATAAGCTTCAATAGCTTTCACCACCTTAGCAGGTATGATGAACATCTGTGCCCAGTATGATTGAATGCCAAAAAGCACTGATTTTACCAATTGAACTCTGCCTGTATATGATAACTTCTTTATTGTCTATGATAAAATTCTGGCTGTGATCTTGGCTACTAAAGGCTGCCATTCTACTAATTTCAATTTTTTAGTAGCCAACGGAATCCCTAGATATCTGAATGGTAAGTCCCCATGTCCATATCCTAGTAGCTACTGAATATCATGCTTGGTAGATTCTGAAACACCACCATAGTAGATAGCACTTTTGGACAAGTTAGCCTGTAGGCCTGAAGCAACAGTGAATATACCAAATTTCTCATGTAAAAGGTCTACAGAGGTTACACCACCCTTAGCAAATATTCGGAGGTCATCTGCAAAGCACATATGTGTGACATTCAGTTTAGAGCATTTAAGGTGATATTTGAACTGCTTATCTTCCCTCAGGGCACTAAGGTTTCTACTCAGGTACTATATGATAATAGCAAACAGAAAGGGAGACATTGGATCCTCTTGTCGAAGTCCTCTTGCAGCATCAAATATTGGAGTTGACTCTCCATTTATAACTATGGAGTAGTTGAGTGTTGTGATACATTCCATCACCCATCTGACAAACTTTTGAAGAAATGTAATTCTACCAACATTTGTTCCAGGAACCTCCGGTCCATAGTGTCATATGCTTTTTGGTTATCCACCTTGATCATGCATCTAGGTAAAATATGTTTTCTTGTGTATGCTTTCACCAATTCATGAGCTAGGATCACATTATCTACAACTTTCTTCCCATTTATAAAGCCTAATTGAGTCTCTATGATAAGGTTAGCAATCACTTTCTAAATTCTCCCTGCTAGGATTTTGGCTATAATTTTATAAAGTATTATGCAACAGGAAATTGGTCTATATTTCTTGATTGTAGCAGGGTTGGCTATCTTTAGATGGGGGCTGTCGCCGCCTGATAGAGGCAGAACTTTGTGCCGACCTGTTGCTGTACAATTAATTCCTCTATACATTATACCTGTTGTGAAGAGTTCTTGTGCAGCTTCAATGATCTCAATTTTTAATGATAGGCCATGCTCTTTTATAGAACACAAAATTATAACCATTCACTCATGGGGCTTTGTCATCCCCTATGGAGTTGAGACCATCATAAATTTCCTTTTCTGTGACCTCCTCACATAATTCGATCTGTTGGGCATGATTTAGGACATTCCCTCTTTTTATGAATTTCTTGTTTACTGTTGTCACAGTAGGTAGAATTGTCCCCATAAGTGACCTATGAAACTGTATTCTTTCTTGGTATCTGCTACATCAACTAGTCTCCTTCCCTCTTGAGAGCCAAGTTCTAGGATTTGCTTCTTCTATTTTTTGTCTCTTATAATAGCTGAAAAATAGCTAGTGTTGGCATTTCCAAGTTTTAGCCACATTGCCCTGGCCTTTTGTTACATGACACTCTCTTCAATCATAAACTATTTCTCAAGTTGGAAAATGAGGTTCTTCTCTTCTACTGGAGTTCATCTTAGTATTGTTTGCTTATCTTGATTTGAATCTCTTGTAGGTCATCTCTTGCTTGATTTAATCTTGTTGCAATACTCTTGAACTCAATTTTATTTAGCATCTTTAACTTCTCTGTGAGATCCTTCTGTTTCATCCATATATTTCTCATCTTGTGCAAGTGATTCCTCTGTGTCCAACATTCCTCCACTAATTTAAGAAATATGTCATGTTTGCCCAGACAATGAAGAATTTAATAGAAGATTTGATGTTCGGTTCTCTAATGTTAGTGGCTATCATCATAGGACAATGATTTAATATATGTGGGAGTTTATACTCATTAGTTAAATGCCCAAATTGCATCATTCATTCTGCATTTCCCATATCTCTGTCTATTCCACTCCAGATTCTATCTCCTCTTTGTGTTTATTTGTCTATGTGTAGTAGTCTCCTTTCCAAGGCAGTTCATTGAGCATCAGATGTTGGCATGTTTCACACAATTGGCAAAGTCCCTTATCTCAAGACTAGTAACTGTTGCACAATGCAGCCTGTCTTGTATACATAGTATTTGTGAGAAAGGACGGGAGAATATATATAATTGATATTGGATGTTCAATACAATACAAGAGGTCCTTATTTATAGTTATACTATACAAGGACATACTACTCATATTCCAATGTGGGACAAGACTACACTATGTACATAGTTGTAAACTAACACTCCCCCTCAAGCCGGTGCAGACAAATCATATGTACCGAGCTTGTTACATATATAACCAATACGAGGACTAGCAAGAGACTTGGTGAAAATATCTGCAAGTTGATCATTCGATCTCACAAACTTTGTAGCAATCTCTCCTGAAAATATCTTTTCTCTGACGAAGTGACAATCAATCTCAATGTGTTTAGTTCTCTCATGGAACACCGAATTTGATGCAATATGAAGGGAAACTTGATTATCGCACACAAGTTCCATCCAATTGAATTCACCAAATTTTAACTCCTTGAGAAATTGTTTGGTCCGGACTAGCTCACATGTTGCCATAGCCATTGTTCGATATTCTGCTTCTGCACTAGATCGAGTAACTACATTTTGTTTCTTGCTCTTTCAGGACACCAAATTGCCTCCTACTAAAACACAATATCCAGACGTAGAACGCCTATCAGAAGGTGATCCTGCCCAATCAGCATCTGAGTATCCAACGATCTGCTCATGATCTCGATCCTCAAACAGTAACCATTTGCCTGGAGCCGATTTTATATACTGAATAATGCAGACAACTGCATTCCAATGACTATCACAAGGAGAATTCATAAACTGACTTACAACACTCACATGATAAGAAATATAGGGTCTAGTCACTGTGAGATAATTTAATTTACCAACCAGCCGCCTATAGCTTGCAGGATCGCTAAGCGACTCCCTCTGTCCTGGCAGAAGTTTAGAATTCGCATCCATCAGAGTGTCAACAGGTCTGCAACCTATCATCCATGTCTCCTCAAGAATGTCTAAAGCATATTTTCTTTGAGAAATAACAATACCTAAGCTAGACTAGGCAACCTCAATACCTAGAAAGTACTTCAATCTGCCTAGATCCTTAGTTTGGAAGTGCTGGAAGAGATGCTACTTCAGCTTGGTAATACCATCCTGATTAGTGCCAGTAATAATAATATCATCAACATAGACTACCAGATAAATACAGAGACTTGAAGCAGAGTGCCGATAAAACACAGAGTGATCAGCTTCACTACGAGTCATGCCAAACTCCTGGATAATTGTGCTGAACTTACCAAATCAGGCTTGAGGAGACTGCTTTAAACCATAAAGTGAACAACGCAAGCGACATACAAAGCCACGAGACTCTCCCTGAGCAAAAACACCAGGTGGTTGCTCCATATAAACCTCATCCTCAAGATCACCGTGAAGAAAGGCATTCTTAATGTCCAGCTGATAGAGGGGCCAATGACGAACCACATCCATGGATAGAAAAGGGCGGATTGAAGCCACTTTAGCCACGGGAGAGAAGGTATCACTGTAATCGAGCCCAAATATCTGAGTATATCCTTTGGAAACAAGACGGGGCTTAAGTCGATCAATCTGGCCATCGGGACTAACTTTGACTGTATAAAAACAATGACAACCAACAGTAAATTTACCTGAGGGAAGAGGAACAAGCTCCCAAGTACCACTTATATGTAAAGCAGACATCTCGTCACTCATAGCATGTCGCCATCCTGGATAAGACAACGCTTCACCTGTAGACTTAGGGATGGAAACCGAGGACAAAGAAGATATAAAAGCATAATGGGGAGATGAAAGACGATGATAACTCAAACGGATATAATGAGGATTAGAGTTAAGTGTGGTCCGTATACCTTTCCGAAGTGCAATCGGTGTACTAGGAGCAGGGTTCGCAGTAGGAGCAGGGTCGGGTGCAGGACGAGAACCAGTTGGGCCTGATGTAGGGCACGAACGAAGATGATAAGTCAAGAATGGTGTTCCTGTGGCTGGGGAACTAGGAGGAACAACACTAGACTCCTCAACGGTTGGTATGGGTGAAACATATGTGGTCGAAGGTGAGGGAAGAGCTATAGTAAACTCCTCAAAGGTCCGTATAGGTAAGACCTCAGATATATCATAGTGGTCAGCAGAAGTAAAGAAAGGTTTGGACTCAAAATGTGACGTCAGCTGACATAAGGTACCTACGAAGATCAGGTGAATAACAACGATATCCCTTCTGAACACGAAAGTAACCAAGGAAGACATACTTGAGAGCACGATGAGCTAACTTATCTTTCCTAGGAACTAAGTTATGAACAAAACACGTGCTCCCAAAAACACGAGGTGGAAGAGAGTATAAGGCTGACTGGGGAAACAATACTGAATGCAGAATCTGATCCTTGATTGGAGATGAAGGCATCCGATTAATCAAATAATAAGCTATGAGAACTGCATCGCCCCAAAAATGCAACAGAACACGAGATTCAATTAGAAGTGTGCGAGCAGTCTCAATAAGGTACCTATTCTTTCTCTCTGCAACCCCATTTTGCTGAGGGGTATAAGGACAAGATGTCTGATGAATAATTCCTTGAGAAGTCATAAACTGCTGAAACTGAGAAAATAGATATTCTAAGGCATTACCACTGCGAAAAATGCGAATAGAAATACCAAATTGATTTTTGATTTCAGCACAAAAACTCTGGAATATAGAGAATAACTCAGAACAATCTTTCATTAAGAAAATCCAAGTACATCTCGAGTAATCATCAATAAAACTAACAAAATAATGAAATCCCAAGGTTGAAATGACTCTACTAGGACCTCATATATCAGAATGAACTAAGGAGAAAACAAACTCTGCATGACTCTCAACACTACGCGGAAATGAGGCTCGGCTATGTTTTTCAAGCTGACACGACTCACAATCTAATGTAGACAAACTGGATAAACTAGGCACCATCTTTTGAAGTTTGGATAAACTCGGATGTCCTAAACGTCTGTGGATTAGATCTGGAGGATCTGTAACTAGACATATTGTGGAAGAACTGAGTAAGTTAAGGTAGTAAAGGCCTTCCGATTCACGTCATGTACCAATTGTCCGTCTCGTACTGTGGTCCTGCATAATAAAATAATTGTTAATAAAATGTATACCATAATGGAGGGAATGAGTCAAATGATTAACAGATGCAAGACTAAAAGGACAACCAGGGACATAAAGAACGAAATCTACGGTGATAGAAAACAAGGGGTTAGGTTGTCCAACTCCTTTTGCCTTGGTTTGACATCCATTGGCTAAAGTAACAATGGGAAGAGACTGTGAATATACAATATTCGACAAAAGTGATTTATTACCAGAGATGTGATCAGAAGCGCCTAAGTCCATGATCCATGGTCCAAGAGTACTAGACTGGAAAACACAAGAAAAAGAATTACCAGCAACAGAAGTATCAGTCTGGGCAATCGAGGCTACTTGTGGAGATGTCTGCTTACTTGTTCGATACTGAAGGAGCTCATTATATTCTTTTTTAGATACAGAAAAACCCTGGTTACCTATAGTTTTGGTCTAAG